ATCTCCATCATAGGGGTCAGGTGTGGCAATGTGTAAGAAGGGTGTGTTGACAGGGACAGTAGATGTGTTATCAACAGTCACCCTGTTGTCAAGAGGAGGGTGGTCAATAGTAACAGTGTTGCTATGATGTTGGTCCCCATGGTAATGGCTGTCATGACTCTGGTTTCCATGACTATTGTCACCATAGGTAGTGGTGTCATAGTTACTATTGGGTTGGAGATTAGACACAGGGGCTGTAGGCTGATTACTCCAGGAAGCTGTCATAAGCTGTTGGAGCTGCTGAGTCAGCTCTAGGACCTGTGCTTGAAGAATAGAAATGGGATCAGGGAATTCTTCTGCTTGTTCCATAATGGTGGATATGGAATAAGGCAGGTGTTGGGTGTGTGTGGTAAGAGTAAAGGCAGGTAAGAGTAGAGGTGGAGTGGTGAAGCAGAGGTTGTCACTTGGAGACTTGGTCTTCTGTTAGGGCAACACAGGCTGACTAAGTCTGCTCACCTAAGAGTGCCAAGAGTCTAAGCAGGCAACAAGGAAGTGGAGTAGACCTGATGACTAAGACCTATCTACAGTATAGGTATCTGTGGATGATCCTAAGAGACCAAGTCTGAAGAGACAGTCCCAGGCAGAGTAGGCCTTATATTTATACCTCTGTGGTGGAACCTGCTAGAACATCTTGCTTACTCAGCCTAGTCAGGTGATCAGGTCATATGACCAAGGATGAGGTCATATGAGGTCATGCACAGCCATGCACAGCAGGTCACCTGACCATCCAATCCTTCCAGCAGGTTCCAGCACATGCCAAGGTATACCAGCTACTTCCATGTCATAAAGGCTTAGTCATGTCTCTTGACCAAGCAATGAGCTGGTGCCCTGACAGAGGGAGTGGGAGAGGGAGAGGGAGAGGGAGAGGGAGAGGGAGAGGGAGAGGGAGAGGGAGAGGGAGGACATACTTTGCATGAGTGATGAGCACTCTAAACATCTTGCAGAGCTTGCCTTGAAACAAGAAGTGTTTTTGTGACTGAATTACATCAGGCACCCCACCATAGTACTGCCTGCAAGTTGTGCCATCCACATCTCAATGACAAGCATAGTTGAGGTGATAGGTGGAGGAGCATGAGCAACAGTGAAGCAACATTACAAAAACTGGGAATGAGCCACAAACAAGGGTATACAATGAAGACATGACAGGACAGGGATCTCCCAGTCATGCAGGACACCCATGGATCAGAGAGTGTGGACAGCATAGGTTGAGACAAGTCTGAGTTGGCAGGTAAAAATCTTCTACAGCTAGTGATATTATATCAGCGCATGATTGACAATAGATCCTTCACAACGCACCTAAGCTGACACTCTGCCCGTAATGGGCGAATGAAGAAAAATTGTCAACAAAAAGGGGAGCCATTTTGGTGACATCCATTGTTGGGGACCAAATGACTTCTTTAAGACCATTCCACAGGCAGAAGACTTGATTGGGTGATACATGTAGAGCAGTGCAGACAAAGGAGATTACAGTGTTTGGAAGACTAGACGGCAGGTTGTCGAGTTCTATCAACCCATGATCCTCCTTCCAGCAGATACAATTTTGCAATCTTCTTGCAATAACCAAAAAAACCAGCACTTGCTCAACAGAAATATTCCCCAGCCAAGGTTGAAGCTCAGCCAGTCATGCAAGAAGGTCAAATAGTTGCATAGCAGATGAGGAGCAAGCTACACAGAGATGGAGAGGCAGAGGGAGAGACAGACACAGATGTAGAGGGAGGCTGAGGCTGAGGAATCAAGGTTGAGTGTGATACAGAGAGAACAGTTCAGATAATCAGAGATGAGTTAATAGGTCAAGTTGTTGACAATGGAACATACAATATGAGAGACTTTGTGTGGTAACTAGGAAGTAATATTAATGATGGAACAGTCATGGTCCCTGACATCCTTGCTGGTTGTGGCTGTGTTGGCTAGTATTTGACCAGACCACATCCGGTGTGCAGCAGACACTGGACAAGATCCCCTGGATCCTGGATGTTCTGCTACAATGACCCCTCAGGTGCAAATTCCCTAAATGACCCCAAATGCTGCCCCTAAGTAACCAAATAAGGAAAGTAGTGGCTGTGGCAGTAGAAGCACATGCCTTTGGTCAATTCAACAACATGTTTTTCTGAGTGTTTTGTTATTAAAACAGACCTTTTTCAAAAGGCAAGCTGGTTGGTATTTCACATGGTATGCATTACTTTCAAGAACTGCTGTAAAATTCCTTTCCTTGCCATAAAAGTCTGGCATTCTCTCACCAATGTTTATGATGATGAAAATTGGTGAATTATTATAAGAGGCATCCATGCAGAATTAATTTACATATTGTAATATAACCAATTCAAAACAAAACAAAGCTTTGCAAATTAATTGTTGGAACACACTTTATAAACTGACATGAAGAGACTGGACCCTAGCACTTCTTGAACCACTACCACCATCTTGCTTAATTGGAAGGTCTCTGGTTGTTTAGGGCAGGCCTTGGGGTCATTTTAGGGATTTGCCCCCGAGGGGTCATTGTAGGCAAGATGCCCCTAAAAGGGGTCATCGGAGGAATTACCTCTCTCAATCTGCACTGCCACTCATCTTGAGGAGATGAGTTTTTCCTCGCACTTGATCGGCGGGCAATGTACCTCCATCTTGGCTTGTAAGACTTTCTGTTGATCACTATCAAAAGTTGTAGCATATACACACAAGAAAAAGACTGATAGAGTGTTGTACAATGTCCGAATGCTCACCCTCGGTATGCTGCTCAACTCTGCCCCGTTGGCTTTAATTGACGCGAGCGATTATTTATTATTGCTTTCTCTCGATGGTAACGACCGGATCATCCTCCAAGATTCTCTTGTTCTTGAAGAATATCGAAGGAGGTAACGAAGATCCCTGGGCGGTTAGGGGCGAGTCCCATATTATATGTTTCACCCTCAGATAACTTACACGCCGTACAGCACTCACCGTCGTGCGCTGCATCCAACAAAGTCGGTTTCTTCTCATTCGTCATTGTCACGGTTGGTATGACCGGGGTTGCCAGTTCGGTCAGCGTCGAGCCAGGCGTACTTAGCTTCTTCCTGCTCTTCTGAGCAATGTGGATATCTTCGATCATCGGCCCTCCATTCAGCTTACGCGATTCCAACACGTGTGACATCTTCGCCAAGTATCTCAGGACGGAGCAGGTTATGGGAGGGAAGACGATCTGTTCCTCCGTTGAGCGAGTGACGGTCGGCTCGTGGCTCATCTGCTTGCTGCTCTCCGCTTTGCTGGTTTGGGAGGGCTGTATCCTGCTGTCTGCGCTCCGCGCAGGAGATAAGAGCATATGGAACAGCAAGATCTACAAGTATGATGCGAATGCACCGCTGGTAGGGCCCCAGAATCGGCAGCCTAGGGACTCATAAGGACAAACCCATGCCCTTGAGCAGTTCGGACAAGGAGGGGGGCAGTGTATGTTTATGACGAGCGGGAACGGTGTCATGGTTAACTTTCTTCAACCTGGAAGGACACTGAATGGACAATTACATAGCGTGTGAGCACGAACTTGTATCTCCACCCTTGCTAATACAACGGAACAAAGGTCCCATTCACGCACTCATACCCTGGGTTGCTCGAGTTCACAGCCGGGTTGTTACAAATGATCGTCGCCGGCACTCCGTTCTCCGGACGGAGGTTGATATTCTGCACAGAAAAGTCCTGGCACGCGCCGGGGTTGCAGCGGAAGAGGATCGCTTGGGTTCTATCTGCCCCTGGTTCATAGTACCAGCACGGATCTGGAAGCATTTAAGTACGCTGGGTCAGAAAAAATAGTGAGATTGGGGGGCGTACCAGAAATGCAGCTCTCGTCCCCAGGCTGATAGGTATTGATCGTCCCCCAGAACCCGTCGTATGTGAAGTCCCGCATGACCACACTAGCGTTATTGACCCTCGCCCCTCCGGGGCTGTTCTGGTCTACATAACTCTGGGTGATATACAAGGGGAACGTGACGTTCTGACAGCCGATATTGCGGTAGGTGACGTTCCTCGCCAGCCCTGTGCCCCCAACCCAGGACTTGAACCTCGCGCCGTACAGCGTATTGTGGAAGAAGACATCTTCGATAAGGACGTCGGAGACGTTTGCTGGCTGTGAAGGATCCTTGCCCAGGGAACCAATGCTCGCTCCATGCGAGTGGAAGCCTACATACGTCCGCCAAAAAGTGACGTTGCGCGTGCCGATGCTGTCTTGGCCGACTGCAAGCGCGTCGTCCCCGTTAAGCACGACACTATCCTCGATAAGCAGGTCGCTGCCGGTTGCGTCAAACCCGTCGGTGTTGAAGGGGAATCCACCGGTGGAACGAGCGTCGATGAGGGTGTTGCGGACGTAGATGTTGGATGCGGAAGCCAGGGAGACGGTCCATGCTATGGGCTGGTGGAACTTGAGATTGAGTAGTTGACCGTTGGTTACGGCGAAACCGAGAAGGTGAGGTCGGGCGATCTGGTTCCCTGAGTCCCACCATTGTTGTCCTGTCTAGGCGTGAGAAGGAATGCGAGCATATACCGGATAACCTACCGTAGGAATTGATCCATCCCCAGTACTGCTCCCCGCTCCCGACAAGCGTAACGTTCTTCCCGGTAAAATATAGCCAGTACCCACTTGCACTTGCATTAACTTGCACTTGCACCTGGTGCATGTCCCTGGGCAAGCTCAGATTGCCCTGTATGAGCACTGTGAGATCCGAGTCGGGGGACGACGAGAGGCGTCCAGAAGTTGTAGGACGTATTGGGGGAGAAGAGCAGCGTACGGCTAGAGCAGGTGGAGAGGGCATGGTGGAAGGAGGGGGTGTCGTCCCCATGGGGTTTGTGGGGGATGACACAAGGTTGCGCGAAAGCGGAGAGGACGAGGCAAAGCGTAGTCACAAGGAGGAGCGCCATGAGAATGAGAATGCTGGCAGAACGACTTGACTGCCCAGCTATTTATGAATTCTCATAGCCCGTTCTCAGGCATACGGAAGAGAGAACATGAGAAGCAAACGCGCGCTTCCTCAGAATTGCAGGATCGCAAGCTTGCTTCACGGATCGTTGACATCAGCAGTACTTTCAGAGGTCCCAGAGTTCGTCAGCAATGCAAGATATTTGTCCAGTTGCCTCTGAGATCAAATCACTTCGATCCATTCAAGTCAGATAAAGTATCCCAGGTAGATGTTAGAAATCCCAGTTAGAGATGGTGAACAACATCAAAGTGGACCCTAAGAATGTGAAGTGAGTACGGCCCGCCTCGGTCCGCTCCTCACGTGACCATTTCTCCACGTGAAGCGCGTGTTTATCTACGTCATCAGAAGCTGGAGCAGAGAAATGGTGGTCATAAACCGACCAAGAGCTTCACAGTTCTTCTCGTGATCACTCACCTCCTTGAGCATTGACCACCATGTCCCCTGTCGCCGACACCGTCCCTATCATCCCCACCGCCATCAAACCCTCGCCGCAGATGCACGTCCGACCTGCCAACCCCTCGGATATCCCTTCCCTCCTCTCCGTCTCCCTCTCCTCCCAACACTGGCTCATCGAACAAGGACTCGCTCTCCCTGCTGAGCAGCCGCCCATAACACCTGATCGGATGAGCTGGTTTACCAAGCTTTCGGGGGAGGAGGGGTGGGGAACCAGAGGTGGGAGGATATTTGTTGCGGTTGTGGGTGAGGAGGTCAAGGGGAAAGCAGGGATGATCATCGGCTGGTGTATGGCTACTATGGTTCGTCTCATTTTTCAACTTCTGTATCTTACCCATTCATGATCACGTGCAGGCATATCCTCCTCATCTGCCAGATACACTCCTTTCCCAGCTGTATCTTTCCGCCATCTATGTGCACGCTTCGTACGTAACGCAAGGCGTCGGTCGACAGCTAGTACAATACCTCGCGACAGAAGCAGGGAAAGGCCACGCAGAGCTCATAAGAGCGGAATGCAAGCGTCTTCCCAAACTGGTGCAGATGCACGAGAGCTGGGTGAGTGCTCTCCTACGGATTAGAGGCATGCTGACTGATTAGTTTACAGGGGTTCACTCCGGTCAGGTATACGGGTTGGGCGGAAGATTACGAGGATAAGATGCAGTTGTTTCATATGGATTTGAGGACTGACGAGGAACGGGAGCAGGACGAGTACGTGGAGGATGAGGACGAGGAGGACGAGTGACGGCTTTCTCCTCGACGAGTGCCTGTTCCATGCCTTTTCCCGACCTCCCTGCGATCACTATCCTTCTGCGAGCCGTGTTCCACCACTGGCATTTCGGAAGTCTTTCCTTCTCTCCAAGTACATGACATGTATCGATAGCTCCCTGTGTTTCCATCCGAGTCTGGCAAGTCGTAGTCCTTGAGCAGCAAATGAATTAACGGGTTTAATTGATCAGTAGACCAATGGAGCACATTGCCATCGATTGTTCAGGCGATAGAGCAGCATGGTTAAGTGCCAAGATGTATGCTCCACCATGTGGAAATATCTCGCAACTCGGGCCGATGATCCCTAGTGCCCTGCACATATACCACCATGTATGCGCCTACGGTAAGCAATATATATCGTATGCTCGCTGGCAGCTTTCCATTCTCCTCCCTCTCTCTTACCACCCTCTCTACACCTGCTTGCCTACGATGTCCTACACTTCCAAGCACGGACCTATACATCCCTCCGTTCTGCCTTTGTGCGACCCCGCCTATGTTGAGTACTACAACAGCGCGATCTTGGGCGGTATAGCACTAGACTATACAGCTCCATTCGACCCCTCCATCCGCACCGTACCCCTCTTATCAGGAGGGGCGAAGCCGCTCGAGTGCGTGGCAGAGGAAGTCCAGATCGGGGAGTGTAACGTTCGCGTGCTCACTCCTCCAGCTGAAGGGGGAGGGAAGCAAGTCAAGCAAGGCGGATGGCCCGTCGTCATCTACTTCCATGGTGGGGGATGGGTGCTAGGCAGCATAGACAGCGAGATCAGTATCGCGACCCAACTCTGTCGTCGTACGTTCCCTCCTTCCCCCTCCGGCACCGCTAACGCAACCCAGGTGTCCCGTGCGTCGTCGTATCCGTCAACTATCGGCTGGCGCCCGAACACCCCTACCCAGCAGCAGTAGACGACGCCTGGTCCGTCCTTCTCTGGGTCCGTGCCCACGCCCAGGAATACAACATCAACCCCTCCCTGCTGGCAGTCGGTGGTGCGTCCTGCGGCGGCCAGCTAGCAGCTGTCATCTCCCACATGGCGGTCCTCTCCTCCCCTCCTATTCCAATCGCTCTCCAGCTCCTGACCGTCCCGTGCACCGATTTAGACCCAGCGGCTCCATACCCCTCTCGCGAGCTATTCGCCTTAGGCCCAGCGCTGCCAGCTGCGCGCATGAACTGGTTTTACAACCTCTTCAACGCTCCGCCCAAGGAGTGGAAGGCGAGTCCGATCCTTGCGCCTGCGGAACACTGGGACCGCCTCCCCCCTGCGTTTGTGGTTGTCGGAGGCCTGGATTTCCTGAGAGATGAGGGTGTGGAGTATGCTCGGCTGATGAATGAGCGCGGCGCAAAGGCGGAGCTGAAGGTGTTCGAAGGCGTGCCGCATCATTTCCCCTCTCTGGACGGGGTGAGCTTTTCCTCCCTATCCCTTTGTGTAAGGGAATGCTCATCGGTTGTAGGTGCTTGAACAGGGGAAGGAGTATGTGGACGACGCGGTCGACAGGGTTGCAAAGGCGTTCAAGGAGGCTGAGGCGAAACTGTGAATGTTAGATGCCGTTCCTCCTCTCGTGAATGGGGATGTACAGATCTGTATGTATAGAACTGAAAGGAAGAAAAAAGAAGAGGGAATAACATCGTTTCACTGAAAGCCCCTGTTTGCCTGCTACTCATTCCCCATCTGCTCAAGTCCCAATTACGAATTACGGCGCGGACACTTACGCAATTGTCTTCCTGCGCAGTGCTGTCGATCAGGACGACAAACCTCCCTGTTTAGAGGTTTGATCAGCGTATGATAACTAATGTGACTCGACACCAAGGGAGCCGAGGCGGTGTCGGTCATTAATGCTTGAATATCTCAATTTGTATTGATACATGTACGACCTTCCTGATCACTATGCCGACCCAACATCAGTAGTCCGTTTCGGTTAGAAACCGGGGAAACTGGTCCGTTCTGTCGACAAAGCGTCGCCCGTACTCTTATAAAACGACGCAGGAGCGTATGCAGATGTCTACAGTGCTGGACACTCTTGTCACCTCTCTTTATTCGCTCCTAACTCCCTGCTGGTCGGGACGACACAATCCTTCAATACGAAAACAACTCGTTGCTTCAAATCTCAACCATGATATTCAAGACTACATACCTCGCACTCGTCCTTCTCACCGCTGCCACGGTCAGCAGTGCAATCCCTCTCCAGCCTCGCAGTTATTACGTCCCGGGCGCTCCACCCAAGACCCGTCACAGTACGAAGACGGGTTATCGGTCGAGACCCTCGCGAAACCGTTCATGAGCACAGGATCCGCCAAGAAGTCAACCCCACCCAGCGATGATCCAGCCGTGACCAATAGGCTGAAGAGGACCACCACCTTCTGGTGAGGTGAAGAGTACGGCGTAGGGCATCGTGTGGGGAGATAATCGGGTTCGGTGTCTAATATTCATCAGTGCTTGGTCATGTTCAACTGCTCCACCCAACGGCGAATCTTTCGGCATTCGTAAGTAAATTGGTCCAGAAAGGGCTGAAGGGAGTTGTTGACGGAGGTTGTACAGACTGCTTCAGCTAGGCGAATCACATCGGGCGATAAGTCAGTTTGGCTGCATCGTGGCATCTGCATTTTCTTCCACGTGGTAGCATACCTAGTGCGAACCTACCTTAACAGCTTGTAGTGGTAATGGCTGTTGCAACCATCAATGGTATACTAAACTGCGGAGGCTCGAATCGTTGTGGACGCGTGAATCAGCCAACTGAAGGATGTTCTCGGTGAAGGGCACATTCGTTGCAGTGGACCGGTGACCAATTGAACACCAATATGACCGCATTATGAAGACAGTTGATGGCGGAAAAGCTAATCCACATCTCGAGTGGAAGGGGAGACTAACAGACATCAAGTAAACGGGGCAAACACAACCGTGAAAAATGATGCACGCTTCAGGTAAAGTTGGTATTTGCTCTCCCAGAGCGGCTGTGCATGATGGCGGGCGCCATGTGGTTGTAGATCAGTGCCGGCGTACACTTGGGCAACAGTTTGAGTATGCGGCCTCTCTAATATGTACATCACGAATGATATAGAGAGATCAAGCGTGCCTGATTAACAGCCACGACTAATTTGGGTACGGGACCTGATGAACTGTCTAACATGGCGCGATGTATGTATATTGTACTGATCTCCACATGGTATCGCATCTGTCCATAGGCCTTTTCCAGACCATCGATGTGAACACCCCTTAGTGAATTGTGCATTCACATGCAATATTGTCTACATGCCGAAAACAGTACCCCTCCCAATATAATTTCTTTGCAACGATACTTTGGCTTATTGGTCCAGTGATTCGTCAATCGACAGCACCTTCGGCAAGTGCAATACGGATTTCAGTGCTCATAGTAAGCGATTTCCGTGGCCTGTGATCCATTCAAGCACCTAAGCAATTGATAGAATCAAACAAGTTACGTGGTCTTTATGCCGGACGCCGTACGTGCCGTGTCTTCATTCAGCGGTGCCCTCAACCCAGTCGGCATTACTCACATATGAATAAATGAAGCACATGGTCAGAATGTAGACGATTTCTCCATGAGGATGGCTTGGCTTTGTATCAATCGTCCTCCATGGGACATGTGTTTGTGGTTCCACCCCAGCCCGCCGCTGAATCTGTCACTCTCTGGGACGGCAATTCACACGAGAAAATCGCTCTCGATTTGGAGCGAGAGATCGAGTGATATTCATCCATTACGGACTAGATATGGCAAGCTTACTGATCGGGGCACTAGTGGCGTTTTGTGGCACCATTTGACCAGCGAGAAACGGAGACCAAATGGCAGCCCAAAAGGGATATAAGGAGAGTGATCAAGGGCTGAACCTAGTCAGCGAGCTCGTCTGTGACCTTGACCAGCAAGCAACCCAATCGATACTCACAATGCGATTCTTCGCTACTCTGGTCGCTATGCTCTCTCTTGTGCCTTTCAAGGTGCAGGCGGCCCCTGTCAAGCGTACTAACTTCGGCATGGACACTTTCTTAAGCCCGAGTACGGTCTGCCCCACTAGTGTGGAGTGGAGGGAGTGCTCACAGAGTATTCAATCCAGGCTGCCAGAACTTCGGAGAGCTCATCCAGGTGGGCAACGTCGGCGCCAACGCCAACGATTGTGAGACCCGCCTAATGCTTCGCTTCGTCGAATACTGACGGTAGTAGTCCCTGGTCCCCGTGCGTCCATCTCGATCGTCGACACCGACGGCGACTGCGAAGTCATCCTCTTCACTGGCTCTGTCGTAAGCAGAGCGTGGAGAAGAAAAGTCAGTGATACTGATACCGTAGTGTAGTTCGCCGGCAGCAGGGTAACCGTCCCGGTTAATGATATTGGGATGATTGGCGAGTGCTTCGGTGCTCCCAACGGCGAATCGTTCCTCTCCTTCGACATCCGTGAGTTTTCCTCCATAACGAGAAGAATAGCCCTCCTAACATGACCAGCGTAGACTGCTTCAGCTAGGCGTATCGTTTCAAGAAGACTCGGTCCAGACGCTAGTTTGGTTGCCTGGTGCGATCTGCATGTAGTCAGCCGTTTGCACCGAGGGTTGTATAGCTTGCGCAAGCGCACCTTGACAATTTGTACTTCCGATAGCTGTCGTAACAATCAATTGTGTCCAACTTGCCTTAGCTCCAGGCTCCAAGTGTTGTGAACGGGTAAATCCTGGAGTGAATGCCCGGTCTCGATGCAAGCCGGATAGTTAACCCGCCTGGTCAGTATGTCTGCTTCATAGAACTTTATTAGCCTCCAGAGGTAGCACCTGCCAGAGTAATCACGTCCTGCAGGTGAAGTTGAGCAGGATCAAGAGCAACAGAGGACATGGGGGATATCGTTGTGTCCATGGGCAAATACAGATTGTTTAGGACAGTTGCAGAGGGTGTCACGTAGAAATCACATCCCTCAACAACAACAATATCGCTGCTCATTGACAGGTCGTGGTCAGGGGACCATCAGCGTGTTAGGTGCGACACCCTTCCTACAATAAGTAGAGCGATGCTCCGTTTTCGGAAACAAAATACCTGTTATCCCCCTCCACATGTCCCCCCCTTCTGCACATCAGGGTCCCGCTGCTCTCAAATTTGAGGACCCTAACATTGAAAATTAATCATTTGGAACTCATTTCACCTCAAACAAGTTGGGAATGAAATCTACCCTTACATTGACATGGTGTTTACATATTTGAAGTAAATCACAATGCAAGAAATCATTATTTTGTGGCTTTAAGGATGCCAGTGTGATGTGGCTGTAATGTGGCTGTGTGTCGGTTGGAGCCATCAATTCTCCATTTGACCTAAAGGGAGGGCTGCAAAAGTGCTGACAGGGGGGGGAGCTGTGGCACAGATCCATGTCATAGAGATAGATGGAGTCATATTTGGTCATGCTCAAATAAGCATCTCTCTAATAAAAGTGCTATTCATGGGTGCACACCATCACTGCTCTCTGCAAAGACTTGACCACTACTGTCATCTACCATCCATCCAAGTAATCTACATCCATGTCCTCAATTTGTTCTGTTGCCATCATCAGTGGGCATGGCAAGATTGGCCTCTGCCTTGCCCACCTCCTCTCTCCCAAGTACACCATCTCCTCAATCATATGTTCCTCAACCCAGTTCCAGGATATCTTGACGACTGGTGCCCACCTGCTTCTTCTCTCCCTGGAAGAAGCCAGCATGCAGGAGTTCACCAAGGCCTTTGAAGACATCAAGGTGGACATGGTGGTGTTCTCATTTGGTGCAGGAGGGAAGGGTGGCCTGGAGAGGACCAAGGCAGTTGATTATGAGGGTGTGGTGAAAGTCTTTGATGCTATTGCGGCTATGGAAAAGCCAGTGAGGTTGCTCCTGGTCAGCTCAATCAACTCGCATGACTGCAGCAAGCCTGCACCCTCACACTATGTACACTCTCTGTCCATCCCTTCCTAGGTCAGGAAGCTCATTTAGGAATATAGACCAAGAAAGATATCAAAGTGTCTACTTATTTGTTGGAAACTCTTGAGCACTACATACAATGCAAGTTTGAGGTGGACAAGAACCTCTAGGTGAGAGGCAACTTCAAGTGGACAATTGTGAGGCCTGGTTGGCTGATCAATATGCCTGGAGTGGGGATGGCAAGCATAGGCAGGATGGGAATGAGCACCAGGATTGTGGTGTGCCCAGTACATCCCTGGATTTTAATGGATACTGACTTGAATTGGATGTAGAGAGATGATGTGGCACTTATGCTTTCCCTCCTGGTTGAACATCCCAATGCTGCCAGGTTAGCACTGGACATTGTAGGGGGAGAGACACCTCTCAAAGAGGCACTTGATAAGGCCATTGAAGCCTGTGAAATGAACATGTATTGAGCAGTGCATATTCTATAACAGCTTGATTGTAAACATACTGCATGTCAGGAATGGATTGTGGATTGCCAGAGACAAATGCTGAGACTGGAGTCCATGGTGTGATAGCAGGTTCCAATCCCCGTCAGCACTCATCTCCATGAGAAAGCACTTGTGGACTCATACTGAATGGTCAGAGAATTGGAAATGGGCACCCAATGTCGCAATACATGCCAGAACCATGTGCAACAGATGACATGATTGATCGCCTGACTGATGTGCACTTCAAGGGGGGTATCCCAAATCTCTTGTAGTGTGAACATGTGAGCATCTGTAGCATAACATAGGAAAAGTCTGGAGCATGGCCAACTAACATTGTCAGTTATAAGCACAAAGAGACAAGAAAGACAGAAGAGATGGGCCTAGTCACAGGGCATGTTGATGAAGAGGACCACACCAGGGAACTTGGGCTTGATGATGTCATTCCAAGGCCACTCCATGGGCGTACCAAAGGTGATGTCAGCAGAGTCAGTTGATCCTGTACCACCAGTAAGGAGGGCAATGAACTTGCACTTGGGGCCAGTGATGATGGATCCCAAGTCTCTGCCTCTAGAGAAGGGACCGGATTTGTTGTCATAGGGGTAGACTGCTGCCTCCACTGCATTGAAGGTGCCAAGGATGTCATACTGGCACTCATGAGATTTGAACCCAGTAAGATGACCAATGGATGTGAGTGAGGGTAGTGTGGCCGCATTTGATGACAAAGCACACAGGGTTGCCCTTGAGGTCTTGGTTGTCAGGTTCCTTGACCATGGTGGCTGGAAGAATTGTTATGGGCTTATAGAGGCAACTCTCTGGATAGTTGAATGAAGATTGTGCATCATCATGAGGATACATGAGACTCATAAACTTGCCCAGCTCAATTTCAGGGCCTGGAATATGAACAGTTCAGTTAGGTGCCCTCCATTAGACAAGTCAGCATGCACCTAGGTCAATAACATTCCCCTTAAAGTTCAGGAATTTCTCCTTGTCAAGTTTGATCACACATATGTCCTGGGTATAGTTGTGAGGGGAAGTAAGACCAGTGATCAAGGGTGCCCAGACAACATGGCCAATGACATGGTTGTTGACCTCAGCCCAATCTTTCTTCATCATGGCAAAAAACTTCCTGAGCTCCTCAATAGTCTCTTTTTTCTTGTCTACATCAGCTTGGGTTGTCTCCAGGTTCCTTGCTGCTTGATGGCTGCTGGCCTGCACACTATTCATGTACAAGGCAACACACTTCTCCAAGACAGAGAAGGTGTTGTTTAATGTACTGATATGGGCTTGAATGGATGCAAGGAGGTTGGCAAAAGCCTTGTTCCCCATGAGAATGACATGCTTTCTGAGAGTCATGTAACCAGAAGTTACACTCATTTTCTGTAGGGGACAGAGGAAACAAATGTACAGGTTTGGTGGGTGTAGGGAAAGTTGCCTTGCTTGGGCAGGAAGAGCACATGGCATGCTGTGATGCCATAAAGATCCTCACCAACCTGGAAATAAAAGCCTAGGGTGCCCTGCATGTGGAGAGTCTCCAAGCCGGCAATTGGCAGGCAAAGGGCAGTGGTAACCCAGTTGGTCATGTCCTTGAGGGCATGGAGATTGTTGACTGGCATGTAGAGTATGGGCCCAGTGAAAGGTCAGGCTGTCAACTCATGGTAGGCAATGTTGACATTGTAAATGTCATGCTTCCTGAGGAGCTGGAGAATGTCCCCAGAGGAGTTGAATGTGGCATTGCCAGTGGTACTGTCAGGCAGAACACTGATCCAGATCATGATGCGACTGGTAAGGTGCTTGCTGAAGCCATCCTCAGTCACTTCTTCCCAGTGGAAGTGGACAAGGTTGACAGAGCTGAGCTTGATCTGTAGATTGTCAAGAATTCTAACCATCTTAGAACAAATGTCAGTCCGCAGATTGCTATGTTTCAAGGAAGTCACAAACCTCATGGCAAATAGTAGCCCACAAGCTGTTCTCACTCAGTTTGACATGCTTGTAGATGGGGAGGAGCTGCATCATACAAAGGTCTTGTGCTGGCCCAGAGGGTGGCATGAAGACATTTGTGGACATCCTGTAGATCAGCTTGGGACCAAGCTGTTCTTACTGCTGATCCAATCCAAGAGGTGTCCAAAATATTGGTCTGATGGGTGGTGTGTGAGAACTCGCTCAGAAAAAAGGGGAGAGATGGGGAAAGTTGGTATAAAAGCAGGAGTCAGCCTGTAGCTGAGCTATCAAAAGTCAGTATGCAATAATTGGAGCTTGGTGTCCGTCCAGTCAAGTCACAATAAGTCAAGTCAGATCTGCTAAGTCAAGTCAAATCTGCCTATCCAGTAAGGGGATAATTGGATCATATAATTGCTAATGGAAAGGGGGCAGAATAAGCTAGATACAGGAGTTTCTGGAAACTACTTATAGTAGCTACTGAAAACTGCACTCTATACTAATCTGATCTCTAGATACCTCTCTAAGGCAAGCATTGGCATGCCAAATATCCAGGTGGGTCAGTATAGAGAATGAGGAGTAAAACATAAAGTAACTCGCTTGTGTTGTCAGGCATTGTGAGCAGTTGAGTTGCATCAAGCAAGTTGAGAGTTGTGTGAGTTGTGTCACTGAGGTAGGGTCAACCAGGCCCTCAAATGCTGGAATGTCACACTTCCATCCCTTAGGTCATGGGTCAGCAAGAGGGCCTGAACTCCTATTATTCAGTACAGGTGCTTCAAGCCCTGAAAGTCATGCTGAGAGAGCAGAGGGTACTGAGCATACAGATTCCTAATACTACAAAATATAGTATGTACCAGAAAAAAGTGTTCCACTTCTCTAGAGCAAGAAGCATAATTGTAAGTAATGTATCTATGACTACCTAATTGAGATCCATGGCCTCATCTGAGTCCACCAACTCTAACATGGTCTTGTTTGAGTCCAAGGGCACTCTCTCCTCTTTTGCTGGTGCATGTGGTGCTACTGGTGCATATGGCAAACTATCCATGTTGTCATGTAACCAGCAACAGAACTGTGGCATCTCTGCATCAGTCATGGATGTCTGGTTAACACCCCGCATGACTGCCATTATCTGGGCTAGCACCCACAACCCACAATCATGGCCATTCTGTTGTTCTGGGACCTAGATCATATTTAACAATATTCTCCACCCCAGGGGGGTGAACACACATACCAAGGCCATGTGTGCTTCCCAGCCTACCCATAAACACCCAGGCCAGTCCTGGGAAGATTCCTCAGCAATTGCCATCACCATATGCTTTATCATCTGTATGTCTAATCAGTACTGGCTATGTGAGATAAACATGAGGATGCACCATAACAGCCAACCTCCAATGGCAACACAGTGAGTCATATATAATGATGTGGTGTTTGACAAAGTCCACATGCCCCAGAACCCAGTGATTCGCCAAGTGGAGGGGGAATAGCCACTCTGAATGTTCCCAGCATGCTTCCATATTGAACACATTTCGGCAGAGTTTCTTAGCAACATGCTTTTCCATCCACTTCCTCCTCAAGTATGTGTCAAAGTCAGGCCATGCATAAGAGGAGAAGACTTTGCAACTAAAAGCCTCTCCATTCTTTTTGCTGGGGGGGGGGGGCTTGGTGGGACCTATGAGGTCAGAAGCAGGCCAACCTTGTTGGAACAGTACAACTGTGTCACTGATGTTCCAGTTGTTCAACCAGCCAATGGTATCTCTGAATCATTGCACATCCTTAGCTACCAGAGAAACCTGGCATGTTGCTCCCTTGAATACCCATTCATCCCTGTTACCATGACCATGATTGATGGTGAGGTCAATGATGCCAACAGGTGGATGCCAGTCATCAGAATGAAGCTACTGTCCATTGTGAGCTATTGGGTGGTGCAATGAGGATACTGACTTACCAACACCAGTTTCTCATCGAAAATGACAAGGTCTTTGGATTTGTTGAGAGGTTTCTTGGGGGGGGGGCAGGCTTCTTGACAGGTTCTTTCACCTTGCCAAAACCAAGATGAGGGGGGAGAGGTTCTGGGTTCATGACTGCTGGATCCTCCCAGAACTCCAATGGACAAGGAGGAAGAGGAGGAGGAGGCATAGGGAACTGGTAGCTATACCAGCCCCCCTCATCAAAAATGAGAGGTCTCCAATCTTCTGGTGCTGGCAGTGGTATGCAGTTCAGATTATCATCATTGCAAGTACTGGGATCAGAGGGGTGGTAAGGCAAACCCCTATGAGGCAGAGGCCAAAAGGCTTGCTGTGGTGTAGGTGGTGGTGGAGATGGAGGGGGAGGTGGTGTTGGAGTGTGAGGCAATCTTGGAAGGATGGGGATGGGACTGGGAGTGTGGTACAAGCTGAGGGAGTCAATCGGCAACACTGGGCATCGAGTTGGGAATGCAGGAGTAGCACTGATGGGAGGAGGGGGGAGGGGCAGCATTCCCAGACACAGAGGTTTGTTCTGGTCCCTCCTGCTCCACAATGGCAGCCTGTCAGGGCACTAGCTCATTGCTTGGTCAAGATACATGACTAAGCCTTTATGACAT